TACTTCTTCTTCCAGCCTCCACCAGTGGCGACAGGTGAGTACCCCGGAGGCTACAGAGAAGGTTGGTAGTGGTGGTGTTAGTGGGAGGGTTACCTAAATGTTTACACATGGTGTGGGTTCTCCTAATCCTCCCCTAAAGCCTCAGGCAACTTACCCATGACCTACTGGGACACTATGAAGATGCATGCTGACAACCCAGCTAATAATCGCACAAAGCTACAACTCAAAAGGTACAGCTGAATGTCTGTGTGCGTGTGGCAGAGAGAGGGGCTCCCAGCCTTTAATTGAAACCGACAACATGTAGAGAGGCCCTCTCTAACCTTGTCTCGGCCAGTGGGCTTCCTGCTAGCAGAGATGAACAAACAGTGAACCCTCATTTAACAGCCTGGAAAAATGGCGACCATCTCACGCATAAACGCCAAGACTTTTGGACCTTTAACCTTTCTCCTGCCCCCCACTCCCGGCTTCACTCATCCGCCATGACAACTGCAGTCGGATAAGCTGATGCACAAGAGACACGCAGCCAGGATAGCAACGACACAAAGGAGCTATTGACAAAACTTATGGAAATAACCTGATCTAATTATGGTGCTTTGTCAGGAGTCGCAAAAGCTACCATGTAGATGGAGAGCCAAAGATCCAACAGGTTGTTAATCCAGAAAATCTGATAATGAGCACCTTCTGACAGAGGATGGTTATCAGAATGCAATGAGATTTGAAAAAAAGGAGAGCTGTTTTAGCAGGTTATGCGGAGATATGAAAAGTTAAACCCAATCAGATTAGTTAAAATTCAGCAAGCATGTCGTTTTTATAGTAAACGTTCCATTATACATATCATCAAGTCTTCAAATATCTTCTTTTTCTCCAACCACTAGATAAATGCCTTTAGATATTCATACATATTAGATTTAACTGACTCTCTTACCTGACTAGCTAATGCTAGTATCCTATATATTTTTTCTCTTTAGCTAATTTGAGCACCAATTCACAGAAGAAGTTCAGGACACTTTACACTGCACCTTAAAATATTAGCAAGAAACCCCAATGCTATATATCCAGAGGCTGATAAAACATATTCCTCCATGCTAAAAAATATTTTAAACACAGTACTCTGATACTCCTGGGTGTCTTTATTCATTACTACAAACATAAGCAAATCACTATTGTTCAGAAGGGTTAAAGAAATCTGAGCTGGCAGCAATCACTTCAGAGTGTCGGGTCAGAACACTTGCAAATGTTCAGATGTAAGAGGAACAAACAGGCAGAGTCCAGGAATAAAGTTGTCATTCTTTGTATTTCCAATTGAGAATGTGCCCGCAGCTGGGCGAGAGAGTGTGTGTGGGTGTGTATGTGTGTGGTTTGGTCTTATGAACGCACACACTGTCCGTTGTTCGGCTCCCGTTTGTCCCTGAACTAAAGTTGCGGACATGCACCCCGATGGTGCATTAAGGGGGCATAGAAAATCCCATACACAAACCTAACCCTTTTGTACAACTATAGTTTAAACTCAGTCCTACATATACTGCTCTAAATACTCAAACATCTAATCCGGATTACTCCACAGCTGAAAATAGTTCCTGACAAATGATTTGGTTTGTTGATAAAAGTTTACATTTTGTTTTCAAGTGGCACAGTGGAGCAGAGGTTGCCTCACAGCAAGAAGCTCCTGAGTTCGACAACCATTTGACTGGGTCTTTGTGTGCATGTTCTCCCCGTGTCTGTGTGGTCAGACTGGCGACCTTGTAGGTGTACCCTCCCTCTCACCCAGTGGTAGCTGGGGGAGGCTCCAGCCTGTCACAAACCACATCCTTTCAATTTATTACTCTGGGTTGTTTTGTTATGTTTTGTTTCTTTTTTTTGTTTGTGTTTTTAGCCCAGAAGAGTTCTAATAACTGACTGCCATTCATGCAACTGCATTGGTTTCATTTTAGTTTATGGCTTACATCTGTCTGCTGAACAGGAGGATGGGGGGTTTGTTAGTTCTTCAACTGTCAATCAGAGCACTTTGATTCCTAATCTGATCTTTTGCCACGAGCTCTCGAGAGTTTGACCTACTTTACACCAAACTGCTGCTGCATCTCTCGCATTCATCAGCTCCTGTGTTTGCACACACGCTCTCTGTTGCACTTTTAACTACAGTATCTCTCAGCACCGAGCCCTACCCATGCTCCTCGCTTTTATCATGCGGACAGGCACGGACAAGCTATAAGTTGTTTTGAAATGTGATCAGGCAAAAGTGGAGCACGCCTGATGAGATGACCATTCAGAAATGATTCATGTTTAGCTGACAGCTAAAGCTGTAAACTATTCAAAACCAAACTGTGAATACGAGCAGCATCGAGGGGATTAGTGGGTGTGAAAGAGAGCTGAATGGCCTTTAAATTGGGAAAGAAGACATGCTGCAGATGAATGTGAAAGCAACACCTGGTTTATGTTTTTTTTCCTGAAGAGCACAGATGTGCAGAAAACATTTTAATGAAGGGCACTGCTTCCAAACCCAAGAATGCATTATCGTGCACGAGCCCAAATGTGAACACACGATGCGTCTCACTGGCCAAGTCAATAACCTGGGGCTACAGTCTTAGACAGGTGTGCAGCAACGCAGTCAGGGCAGTGCTCTGTACACATCGCCCCTGGGTTTAGATTTCAAAATTCTGTTGGTTTTAACCTTTGTATATGGGCCAAAAAGCCCTCTGACAGAGCCATGGACTGCTGCCTAAAAAGTAAAAAGTTTATGTTTTCAAAGCGAGGCTGGAGCCTCCTGCTTGCCTCAGAAAAAAACGTTTCTAAATACAAATCAAAGCCATTGCCTTGCTTATCATTATTAACTGAGTGCAGAGGCTTTTAACTCAGTAGGTGGCCTGTTTCAGAGTACAGGTTTTGAAGACAAGTTCACGTCCAACTTGAGAGGCGCCCTACCCCCAGATGATACGCAGGAGACACTTTTCCACATTCCCCGGATGACTCGGCACACTCATTCCTCTGAAATTGACCGCTAAGCTGAGGCAGGAGACAAACAAAGAAACTCGAAATCACACAAGCAGGAGCAAAAGGCTGCTATTATGGGCTGTTAACACTGCTGCTATTTAGGCCACAAGCCAAAAAAAAAAAGGAACATGACCAAGTAAGTTTAAAATATCAGTGTCACTCATGGTTAAATGACAGGTTGCTCTCAGTCAGTGCTGCTTAGTGATCTTAGCCTAGTTTTTAAGGAAAACAGGTGAGTGAGGAAACCAGAGCAGAGGCACTTATGACAATGTTTGTGAACATCTATAAATCCCATGAGGTAAACAGGGAAGCAGTTGCATGCAAGGTTAGCAGGGATAGGTGAGGTGGGAGGATCGAGAGGTGTGGCATCCAGGATTGCTTTCCTAAACTTTGCACACACCTACACAAACATGTGCACATGCACACACAGACATACACACACACTCAGACAGCCAGTGTCTGAGTGGCAGGTGATGGGGCAGGTGCTCTGCAGACATGCAGTTGTGTGGGGGAGGAAGTGTTGGGGAAAGGCAGGGCTCCTGCGGCAAGCAAAGTTATAAATCTGTGATATCAGCAGGCGTGCAGAGTGAAATCAGAACTTCAGTCATTTGCTGGGAGACCAAAAAATGTAGTCAGAAAGAAAAACAAGTCAGTCATCAAACATCTTTCTTTCCCTCCAATGAGAAAAAAGATAGATAGATTATCAGAGAGACGATCTCCAGCCTGTAATAAAGTGTAGTAAAACAGTCCAAGGTCCTGATTTACACTTTCTGCCCGTATGATGTGCATATGGCTCATTCGAGACAAACACACCGCAGTAAATCAGATAATCCACAAAACCGCTCACAACTATCTAATTGTGCTCCAGTCAAAATATGAATCTCCAGACTATCCATACACATCATCATCGTCGTCATCGCCATCATCATCGGCAGCCGTCAACTCACATGACAACGCACTTAGTCATCAGGATAGCAGAAAGAGGGCCAGCCATCACCTGGGATTTTGCTGATGATAGTAGAAAGACATTCAGAACAAGTCAGAGTGTTCTCTCTCAGTGGGTGAGCGAGAGAAACACAGCAGCTTCCAGCTATTAAATGTCATCGGTGCATTACTGTTTTATTCACTGATGAAGCGGCGTCAGCAATTTGGCCAGTTTGGGGCTTTTGAATAAGCCCTTCGTGTCACATATGCAGATGAAGGCATTAATTAATACAAGCACTCACACGTTTCGAAGCACACGGAGCCAGAAAAGGGAAGGGTTAGTAACAAGCTCTTAGCCAGGAGCCACAAACACAGAGGTGGATTTGAGTATTATGCTAAAATCTAACAAGGAGGAGAACTGAGCAGCGTGTTTGAGCTGAAGTGCCAAGTTTCAGCCCTGTGTAGTTTTTAACAACCCTTCATCCAGCATATTCCAGACATGCACTTACCTGCCCCACTCTGCAACAACTCACTGCTCCACTGTAACCATCACATTCAAGGCTCACCTTAGTCTACACTGCCTAGGGAGCAGCTGGAAACATTACAGATGCAAGAAGCAGCTTCTTCCAAGAGAATACATTAAAGCAGAAGCTAATAATCTCACTGGCAGGATACATGCATCAATTTGAGTTGGGTAACTTGACTATCTGCAGACTTTGCCTAAGCGGGGAAGCCAGCACAATGGTTAAGCTATTAACTTGATTCTACCACACACATGGCTTTAAAGAATGTGTTCAAATGGACGCCTTTTGTTGGTAGACAATACACCTGATAACCCGTCTCATGACTGTGCTTCCTGTATCCAGCTGAGAGTTTATAAGCTGTCATATTTATGCAATGCACCTGACGAGCTGCACAGCACTACTTTCCTCAAGTGTATCACACAAAGCACAGCCTGCACTCTCGGGCAACTCAACTTCCACTCACAGCAGCCGTCTGATATCAGAGACAAGATGGAATGTGTGTGTTGGTTTCATGACTTAATTTGTTATTTCAGAGTTATTGCTGGTGTATGTTTAGTACTGTACCTCAGTGGCGTTAGCAGCCTAATGTGTGTGCTGGATGGAGTTCAGCAGCAGTGTGTGAATCCAGGCCATCCCAGGGTCAGACTGGACTCTGTTATCCATTGCTGCCTTGTGTTCCTCCCGGCTTCTCTCCTCCCTCGTCCTCCCTGTAGCTTTAGACACAGCCTGGACTTTTATAAACTGCACTCCTCCGCTCGGATCTTCTCCTTGTTCTTGTTCCCCTCTCCAGAAAAACAAAAACAGGTTGAGAAAAAACAGCCACCGCTTGCTGCACTCAGAGCTACTTGCAATGCAGATCCCCTCTCTAAGCTCTTCTGCTCTCCCTTCCCTCTGCTTTTCCCTCTCTCTCGCCCTCTCTCTCCCTCTCTCTCCCTCTCTCTCCCTCTCTCTCCCTCTCTCTCCCTCCCTCTCCCTCTCTCACACACACAGCTACTGTTAGGGAAGTGCTGTCTTATTTTCTCTTATTCTCCTCCCCTTCTCTTGCCCGTTCTATAAAACTGATAGTTATTTAGTTTGCCATTTCAGCACCTGCCCTGAGATTGAAAGGGAACATAAATTGGAAGGATAAGGTTGCACTTCTATGGAAGTGTTGAACCACTAAAAACTCTGAATGTGAGGGCAGTGGGGTATCTACTTTATCAGAAAAGTGATTACTTTTGTGTGTGCATGCATTGGGAACCGTCCTAATGTGTGAGATTTGCACATGGGGATTGAAAGGCAGAGATTTGCATGTTGGATTTTGTGCGTGCAGCTCCATTGCTAGAAATGCCTCTGGCTGCGGGAGCGAGCGCACGCCTGCATGTAGCTTTCACCAAATGTCAGACTCCGAGATGGAAACGGAGAGAAGCTGCAAAGGAACGCTTGAACCGTTTATAGAGGGATCAGCAATGTTCAACAACCAAACATGAAAAAGAATGGCAGTTGTGAGTTGGGTTAACTCGGGACATTGGTGTACTAATCAGTGGGAGTACGAGTACGACTAATAGTGTGTGTGTGTGTGTGTGTATACATACGTATACATGTGTGTATATGTATACACACATGTATATACATATACATATATATATATATATATATATATATATATATACACACACACATATGTGTGTATATATATATACACACATATGTGTGTATATATATATATATATATAAAAAACACCCAGCACGCCCCTGCGGGCGGTTTATCCTTCAAGCTCGGGTCCTCTACCAGAGGCCTGGGAGCTTGAGGGTCCTGCGCAGTATCTTAGCTTTTCCCAGGACTGCGCTCTTCTGGACAGAGATCTCCGATGTTGTTCCCGGGATCTGCTGGAGCCACTCGCCTAGCTTGGGAGTCACCGCACCTAGTGCTCCGATTACCACGGGGACCACCGTTACCTTCACCCTCCACATCCTCTCGAGCTCTTCTCTGAGCCCTTGGTATTTCTCCAGCTTCTCGTGTTCCTTCTTCCTGATATTGCTGTCATTCGGAACCGCTACATCGATCACTACGGCCGTCTTCTTCTGTTTGTCTACCACCACTATGTCCGGTTGGTTAGCCACCACCATTTTGTCCGTCTGTATCTGGAAGTCCCACAGGATCTTAGCTCGGTCATTCTCCACCACCCTTGGGGGCATCTCCCATTTTGACCTCGGGACTTCCAGGTTATACTCGGCACAGATGTTCCTGTACACTATGCCGGCCACTTGGTTATGGCGTTCCATGTATGCCTTGCCTGCTAGCATCTTGCACCCTGCTGTTATGTGCTGGATTGTCTCTGGGGCATCTTTACACAGCCTGCACCTGGGGTCTTGCCTGGTGTGATAGACCCCAGCCTCTATGGATCTTGTACTCAGAGCTTGTTCTTGTGCTGCCATGATTAGTGCCTCTGTGCTGTCTTTCAGTCCAGCTTTGTCCAGCCACTGGTAGGATTTCTGGATATCAGCCACCTCCTCTATCTGCCGGTGGTACATACCGTGCAGGGGCCTGTCCTTCCATGATGGTTCCTTGTCTCCCTCCTCTTTCTTGGGTTTCTGCTGCCTGAGGTATTCACTGAGCACTCGGTCAGTTGGGGCCATCTTCCCAATGTATTCTTGGATGTTCGTTGTCTCATCCTGGACTGTGGTGCTGACACTCACCAGTCCCCGGCCCCTTCTTTCCGCTTAGCGTACAGCCTCCGGGTGCTGGACTTGGGGTGAAACCCTCCATGCATGGTAAGGAGCTTTCTTGTCTTTATGTCAGTGGCTTCTATCCAAAGCAGCTGGATAGCGTAGTGGTTAGACTACACGCCTTTGGAACAGAGGATCGCAAGTTCGATTCCTGCCTGGGGCGTCTGTATCCAGTAAGGGTCCTAAGGCTAGACCCCCTATGCTAAGCAAGCCTACCGGATACATGAGCGAGACAGATAAATATGAAGGCATGCCGGCTCGGACGTCGCCCGGATCAACAAGGTCCGCGTCAGGTGTTGAGGAACCAGGGCACCCTGACGAAAAGTGGGCTACTGCAACAAGAAGGCATCGATGGGCAAGAGACGAAAACAGGGCGTTGTTGGAATGCTACTACGCAAGCAACCCCGGCGGAAGGGGCTACATGAATAGGATGAGGGACCTATATATATACATATACATATATATATATACACGTGTGTGTGTGTGTATATATATATGTATACATATGTGTGTATATATATATATATACACACATACATATATGTATACATATACACGTGTGTGTATATACATATATATATGTATATGTATACATATATATCAGGCAACACGTAACACTGACTGAACCCTGAAATGCAGCTGTATTTCTCAGTATGTGCATTTGCAACTGAAATGCTAATGCATTGACTATCAGGCAAGTTTCGAGGGCTTTTAAAAAAAAATATTCAGCTGAGTCCTCATCATATGCCTCGTTGCCATGTCTTGCTTGCATGCAAACATTCCCTCACTTCACTCCAGCAGCCGGTAAATGAGCCAGCCGGTGTCCGCAGCGCATACCTGTGCTCGCTGACATGTACTAACTCACTCTTCCTGCAGGCCATGGCAGAGGAACGCAGAGCAATCACAACAATCTAAAGGATGAATGTGGCCAAGAGAGAGAAGAGGAGGAAGAAGATAGTATTCATTACAAAAAAAGTGACTTCAGGAATGAAATAACATGAAAAAAAAGAGACTGAGGTGGAAGAGGAGATGAGATGAAGTAAAAGTCAGGAGTTGCCCACGGCCATTGGTGGAGTTTTTGTGTGGGGAGGAGGGAGAGGAAGAGGGAAATCATTAATGAAACACCTGTCTGTTTCTGACTCCCAATAAATCAGAGACTTTTCATCTTTTTGGGGGGAAGGTGATGTTTTAAGAAGGAGGGCAAAATGAAGAGAAGTAGAAAGTGGAGAAGACAGATGGTGTGGAAGGATTAAAGTTCCAGCAAGTACAGCATCTCTGAGGCTGTGAATCCCACATCGAGGAGGTGTTTGCGTTCGTCAAACTAGATTTATTTGATCAAAAATGACAAAAAAGCTCATATGTAAAATATGGCCTCTGCTCAGGTGCTGTTTCACTCCTGTTTACAGTACTGTACAGCCATACTGTGCAGGACATTCACGTAGAAAAGACTTTCATGCTTGGTGCTGAGTGAAAACGCAGCATAAACTATGTGATGATAATACAGTCAGTGAACAATGCCAGCTTTGTGAAAATGAGGAGCAAAAAACCCCAAAGCACTGTTGACTCTGTTGATCTTGTTGTAACAGTTTGTCCAAGAAAGGTGAACTTTGACCTCAAGTCAGCATTCGTCATAAAGATAATAACAATACACATTAAAGAGGCAGTCTGCCGAGCTCACACATAAAAGTCTGTTTTCTTTCCATGAGTGGCACTACTGATCCTGTGCACTCCTTTGTTTGAAGCCTTCTATCCCTTCAGAGGAGTTTTATAAAGCCCCCCCAAAATATTCAGGATGAGCTTTTGCAGAGTCAAGGTGTAATCCAACTTCATTACATTTCAGGTCCTCTGGGTATCCCAACAGTAACTCCAAGAAAAACACTGCAAATTGGAATTTATGCAATTTCAAACTATGCTCTGTCAATACAACATTTGGCATCATTTAAATAGTTCATGTTGTCAGACTTTGAAGTCAATCTGAGGCTGCGTGGGATACACACACAGTACTGCAAGTAAGTCCCACACCTGCGTGGCGTCAGGTAGCATTAACAGTGCATGCTGCAGCTAGTGGAAGCCAATCAACATACTAATTTTCCCCACATACGTTGCTTAATTATTTAGCAATACATAGATTTATGCTTTATAAATTCATGCCCTTTGCTCCAGTAACATCAGACTCTGATAATGTTGCAATAACCATGAGATTGAAAAAAATCCCAAATATGTTGGAGAAATGTCCATATGAAGAAGGTGGGCAGGCCGAAGCACACCTGTGTATCTGTGCAGATGAATATGTATTAGTGATATGAAAACCAATCCCAAGACAGTATTCCACTTTCTTGGGAAAATTTCACTTATCCGAGATACAAAGGAAAGTCTCATATTCCACCAGCGTTCAGTCCCACTGCTTCTTTTCCACAGAGGAATCCTAACTCATGTTTCCAAGGGACGTGTCACTTCCTTCAGAGGAGGCAATGGCAGAAGTAACGGGAAAGAAGCAGAAAGGCAAGAAAAAGAGTTAATTGTGTTAGACTGACTACAATAAGAGGTACAGAGGAGGAAAAGGCTGACACAGATACTTTTGCTGCAGCGATCACATCAGGTAACTACAACACTAAATAAACTGGTTACACAATGAAATGTAATAAATAATTTCAGATGCCAAAGTCCTTAGTCTGTATGTCCTGTAGGCCTCACATCTAATAAAATGGTTGCTTTTTATCTTCGAAGAGCAAATATGCACATTAAATTCACACAGTGTTGATCTAACTAAGTTCTAAATTAAACTAAACAAAATGTGACTTTAGGGGAGTTAGAGGACATAAAAATCCCACAATGCCACCTGCTGTATTCAAGTTTTCAGACTCCAATCCAAAACCTGTGCATCCCAAATGCAATGAAACCACAGGGAGTAGTAGTATTAGTAATTAGTATTAGTTAGTAATGTTGAGGAAAGAGCTAGCTATTAACTTGGATCAGCAAATAAAATAAGCAGCTTCTAAACAGAGACTAACTAATGTGATATGGAGATGAATAATCACCATAACAGCGAGCAACTCTGGACCCACTGACGTCTTACAGATGTTTTGCTGACTTACATGTACCACATTATAACTTTTGATTAAACAACAAAAGAAAATCAGACTTTAAATGATCACAGGATCGGCTTAAAAATATAAATTAATACCAATATTTCTGAACTGAAATCATGACATCCTTTTTAGGAATGCCATTCACTTACCTGTGCTGTACTTACCTGTCCTCATCCAGCAACATTCACTACATGAGACACATGACAACAGCGTGGGCCAGAACAAAGGGGACACACACACATACAGGTGAGGATGAATATACACACTATGACAGTCTATACCCGACAATCATCGCTCAATCCCCGTGGGCAGAATATGAAATTTGACATGTGACGTGTTAAGCTGCTTCGTTTTGCTGAACATAATGATTTTTCATTTTATTTAAAGTCCAACCTGAACAGAAGTGCTGATGGATGAAATAACCCGTGCCAACACACATCAGGTCACAAAGTCTGGCGATGCAATCAAGCGAAATATTTGGCACTGATCCCACATAGATTACCTCTAATGATCATGCTGTACGCAGCGAGTTTATGACAGCCAGTATAGCCGCAGGTGCTTTGCAGGTGGGTGGGTGAGCTCTTAAAAGCCTTTCAATTGTGGATTTTATTAGTGTGAATCAGCTGTGTCAGAGACAGTGACAGGTTTGACACTGCATGGATCACCTACGTGGAAACACACTGCAGAGGATTTGTTTATCATGCAGCTGACAAGGAAGCACGGTAACATTTTATTAGAAACTTCTAATAGAAAAGACTTGTTTTTATTTTTTTTCTGCTCTCAGACACACAAATTTGTATCCAAAAGATGATTTAAGTGAGTTTAATATGAACATATTTACCTGGTCATTGTTAACTAGATTTACTTTATATGGAGAAGTGTGTGCTGCATGACCTTGTGTGTGTGCGTCCCATGTTCTTACTGACCTGGGCTGGAGGTGCCTGGAGTGGCAGCGGCGGCCGCTCGGGCTCGACTCACCAACAGGGCCTCCTGGTTTTCAGCCAGAGCTTGCTTAGCCAGGTAGCGCTCCCTCTTCATCTTCAGCTCCAGGGACTCGGGAACATCGGGTACAATCCAGTCAATGGCTCGCAGCACGAAGAACACCACGTGCTGGTGACAGTAAAAACAACAGCAAGAACAGTGTGAACAATCTCCACATCACAAATTGTCATTAATTTTAAGCAAACAGACAGCTGATCTTCAAGCATGAAAATGGAAAAACAGTACTTGTAGTTTTATTTTCCACATAGTTTGTACAACTGGTGAATAATTTCTTCTCTCTCAGGTGAGCATTAACAAATAACTGTGAGGAAATGGCAGAGAGGAGGTATATAGAGAGAGAATAAAAAGTGATGCAGATGGAAACAAAACGGTAAAAGAGGACTAAATCATTAGAATTTGTCCAAACAAGCAGAACTGGCATAGAGGTGTCAGTGAAAAGGCAATACTAAACAAAGGTAAAACCACTAAAACAGGCAAAATGAAGTAAATAGAGATGCTAGGAAGCTTCCGTCATACCTCAAATGCAATAATAAAGCCAAGTCTGACTGCCAGGAGCTCCCAGTAAAACAGTGTGTAGTTTCCATTGTTGTCTCTGAATGCTTTGTATCTGAAAAACCCCAACAAACATAATTTGTTACAAAGTTACAACAAGAAATATTTGTAATACTTGGTGTGTATAATATACAGCAGCAGCACATGAAAAGAACAGTCTTAATATTCAGTAATATCACCCATTGTTGGCCAAGGCTATAACATGAACACACTTAACTTAAATGTTAAGAAACTTAAATGTTGCTTAGCAACACCAAAGTAACCATATATGAGAAGTTGAACTTGACACATAAGATGAAGGAATAAAAAGGAGCATAAAAAGAAAGCTCAAAGCAGCATACCTGCACATAGGGTACTCTGTGTAGTTGAGTGGGGCGTAAGCCAGGGTGAAGTTGACGTATCCGTTGAGATCATTGTCAAATTTGTACTGATACAGCAGGCGAGGTAAAAAATCTGAAGTGAACGCTATTAGGAAAGCCTGAAAAAGAATAAAAGATAATAAATGTTCTTTTTTTCCTCATATTGCTATGTAGTCTGACAATAATGTATTAGACATGAACTCACATTGGCAATGACAGACAGGTGTGACAAAGCTTCCAGTATGTTAAACCACACTCCGATGTTTTGTGCACGTTCAGCCACCGGCCGGCGGTACTCGCACACAAACTTGTGTGCATCCAAACGAATCTCCACCCAGTTGTTAAGGAGGGCGAAGAGCGGAGCGAGGGGGAACGCCGCCACAAAGATAGTAATGAACCCAAACTGGAGCACTGCAGCACATGAAATTAAAATTAGATAATTAATCTTTGCATTTTTTCATCAAAATGGATATTATCTATGTGTGAATTTTTAGTTGGACTGAACTGGCGATCCGGTTGAATGCAGTGATATTAAAGTCTCTAAATCAGATATGGATACTCACCCATCTCCAGGTACTCTTCGAACAGGCCCTCACACTCAACCAGCTGGTAATCCTCTTCCCAGCGCCGAGGCTCATGGGATGCCTTGCCACCCAGCACTTTTGCCAGAGTTCTCTTCTGGCGCCAGGCCTTCACTTTACTGTTAGGGAAGAAAAAGACATTTTCGGTTTAATTCAGTTTTATTTATAAAGGCACACATTCGCCTCAAGGTGCTTTATACTCTAAGGTTAAAACCAAAAAACTATTCAAAAGAAACCCCAACAACAGACAACCCCTGTGAGCAAACATTTGGCAACAGAGGGAAGGAAAAACTCCCTTTTGACAGGAAGACACTTCCAGCAGAACCAGGCTCAGGGAAGAGCAGCCATCTGCCGCGACCACTTGGGGGTGATGGCATGGGAGAAGACAGCAGAAACAGGAGAAAGGAGATAACTATGGGAGAAAGTGCCAGAGTTTAATAACGGCTAATGACTAAATAGACACGTGGTGCAAAACCATGCAGAGAGTGAAAAGAAGTGAGTGAAGAGGGAACGCCCCAGCAGCCTGGGCCTATTGGAGCATAACTCCAGGGTCACCTGATCATTTGATGGAATCAGGATAAGGATTTATGTTAGTATGCATTGTAACATGCAATGGCAAAAATGACAGAAACAGCACATTTAGAGGATGTTCATTACATCACAGATATGACACAGGACTAATTTTTTGTAGCTGAACAGCAATCATTGTTCCCCAATAACCACCATAGACTTTCAGTTGGAATTAGTTAACCAAACCTATTTTCTATCACTGGAAGCATTTGTTGCTGATGTAATGACTGCAATCCCCTCTCATCTTTTACAACACATGCCGCCCCACCACTGAGTGGGGAAATGTGCTTGTTTTCTTCATGCAGTCATCTTTGTCTGTTTCACTGCAGCAGCACAAGACCAAATTTCCAGCATCATCCCCTTGGCCACTCCACATTTATGATTCATCACTAACATCAGTTAACACAGTCCATGACTGCCCCTCTTTGGCCCACTGTAAGCGCTGGCTTGTGTTTGGCTTCTCTGCATGTAAATCTCATTTCATTCAGCCTGTTTCTGACAGTTCTGTAACAAATGTTGGCTCCTGTTTCTGCCCATTTATTTTTCATGTATAGCAATAATTTCTGTCATCATATCTGTGATTTGTTTATGTGCTACAAAGTAAAAGAGCTGGATCCTCAAGAGTGATGATTACATAATTTTGCCAGAGGTTTTAAGCGTATTTACTGAACTGCTCCTCTGCTTTATCCTAACTCTGCTTTAATCTTTTCAGTTGTATTTGACAGTCACTGTACTTATTGCTCATGTGTTTGAATCTAATTTGTTTAATTATTATTTTATTGCAGAAAAAATTTACTCCTGAAATTTTTTCTCTAAAAAGTAAGATGTCCTGGTAAACCACGAAAGCTTTTAAATAAATAATAAAGGATGTAAATAAAAGGAAGAATAAAGGATGTTTAAATATGCTGGAGATTGACAACAGAACATTTTTCTATAAAAACATAAAACATATACATAAAAAACCCCATAAAAGCTAAAAGTGTAGCAACGTACGGTAAGATGAACTCCTGAACGTTGTTGATGAGCTGTTTTCCCACCATTATGATGAAAAGTTGTTGAGCCAATTCAATGAGGCAACCCCCGGCACCACACTGTAACGCAAAGACACACAGACATGACACTATGGGGGCATCATTTTCACATGCTGGTACGTTACAGGCTCTCTAAATCACTCACGTCTTCATTTCTCATCCCGAACAAGGTCCCGTAGTTGGTAGGGTAACCCACAAACCTAATCACAGAGAGATCAGTGGCACCTTAAATACTTTCTTTGTCTCAGTGTCTTCATCTTTTCATGATTATCCTGTGTGTCTGTTGTGACTCGTGTGTCTCACCTTCCTTTAAAGAAAGCCACATAAAAGGGAGACGAGTAGAAGTTGACAAACTGGAAGATGAACACCTTGAAGATGAAAGCGTTGTCATACTGGGTTTGTGTTCTGTGCATCTCTGCAACACATCGCACAAAAACACAGTGTTAAAGACATCGAGACAATGTTGCCTTTGATTTCACTTAGTTTAAATGACTTCAAAGTGATTTTTATATAGATAACAAGATATTATGATAACTGGTTTACAGGTAGTCAAAACTAAGAAAAAAGGGAAACCACAGTGTAAACTATTTTTTTTACATTAATTTGGGGTGTTTTTTGATTTGTCTGTTTTTTTACAAGAATCAAGAATCAGCAGCGAATATGATTGTCTATCATACTTTCTTGACTGAAATGAGATAATTCTACAAATACTCTGCTGGATACATCATCAACAATCCTGCCGATATCCATTTTAAACAGTGGCTGAACTGTTTAAACATCAAGATTAACAGTTACAATCTTTTTGGAGGGGTTAAACATGTACACTAAAATTTTTTACAACAATCTGGTTGCATAAATATGCACATCCTTAGCTATTTAAAGCCTGACCCATGAAATAATTGTCAGAAAATTATTATTTATTTGTTCTTATTTTTTGCCTAAACAATTAAGCAGAGTTTTTGCACACTGATCATGTGAACATCTCAAGAACTCATGAAAAGTCATGTATCAAATATGGTACACTGTGAGTTAAAGGGTTAAACTAACAACTTTGTTGAAGCACCTTTGCATTTTATTACAGTAGTCAGTCTTTTTGGTTAGTTGTTAGCATGGCACGTCTTCATTATTTGCCCTTCTCTTCTCTGTAAAAACACTCCAAGTTTTTCAGATTATGGCGCCATCTTTTGAGCACAGTCCTCTTCAGGTCACTCCACAGTTTTTCAGCAGGATCTGAATCTGTACTCAGGCTGGCTCATTTTTTGGTGAATCAGTTATTTTGATGATCTGGATATATGCAGCTGGTTGCTGCTGTTGTGCTACAAGGTCCAAATCCTCTTGATCTTCAGTTTTCTAGCAGATGCCTAAAGAGGTTTTTTGTGAAAAATGATTGCTATTTTAGTACTGTTCATAAATCCTCCCAGCTTGACTAAAGCCCTACTGTAGTTCCAGATGAAGAAAAACAGCCCCAAAGCACGATGTTATCACTACCATGCTTCATTGCAGGTACAGTTTTTCTCTGGTGATGTGAACTGTTTTTGTGTCAAACATATCTCAAGGAATCATTCCTAAAACCTTCAACTTTGGCCTTATCAGATCATGACACAAAACCTACATGCTTGTGGACGCTCTGATGTATGTATATCATGTGTGTGTTTAACTTGAGATTGTTGTCACATGTAGTACACAACCAGTTCTTGCCAGAAATTCCTGCAGCTCATTTAATGTTGCTGTAAATCTCCCTGGCCAGTTATCTTCTTGTCTTTCCCTCAGTTCTGGCAGTAATGGGGTTTTTTTCATCTATTTTCAGCAATGAGATCAGTTTGATGTGTTTGTAAGTCATTTGCAGATCACAAATTTTGTTGGAAGATGCCACAAGGTACACATCAGGAAAATCCTACAAAAACAGCTGAACTTCATTTGATTTTAATGAGTCACTTTAACTGATGACTAATGTTTAATATGAATTCACATGTGATTAATCTTACCCCTAATTATAAGAAGGCGTGCAGACGTGTCCAACCACATTGTTTTTAGGGTTTTTAAAAATATTTTTTTGTGTGTAGACTTTTTATGCCCTCTGTATCTGTACTTTACAGTCCCATAATTCTGCAACATGATGCAGCTACTTTGACAGAAACAATAACCATAAGGATCCAACTGAAGAGATTCACCTGCTCTGGAGAAGTCTGAGCTTTTAGTTAGTGGCAATCAAGTACAAAGCTGATAACAATATACACCACAGAGGTTTGAGGTGTGTGAGAGCAGCATTGATTCTTACCCCATTTAGTGAGCTGCTCAGCTAATGCAGTGTAGACCTGGCCCATCAGCAGTATGAGCCCCAGGTTTACAATACTGCTGGAGATGTTGGCTATGGTCCCTGCCTGGGGGAGGAAATTAAATGCATGAATGTTTGTATGATAAATAAAATGCAGTGATTTGCAAAATCATTTAAACATGTACAAATATATTTAATTAAAAACAGTACCAACACAACACAACTCAAATGTTGATCGTTTTTGACCATGTGAACTGGCAGTAAAAGTTGAGAGAATGGCAAAAAAATGTGTAAAGTTAGTAACACTGAGCTGTTTCTTGGTATAATGTAAATATGAGAATTTTACTGCAGATCATATGTGTTACATAATACGATAAAAAGTGTTAGCATAAATTTCTGTACACAGTGGACAAAGAAGAAAACCAAGACTGAACGGTCATGATTGTTGACTGGAGCCTATCACATCTGTCACAGGACAAAGGGTGGGGCTACTCCCTGGAAAGGGAGCCAGTCAACCACAGGGCTTAAACAGAGAAACAGACAACCATTCACACTCACTTTCACACCTATGGCCAATTTTATATTCACCAGTTAACCTAACATGCATGTCTTTGGACTGTGGGATAAAGCCAGAGCACCCAGAGAGAACCCACACAGTGTGGGGATGTATGAGTCTGGGGCCTCCATACAGAAAGTCCCCAAATGGCCAGTGGATTCCACCACCACTGCACCACTGTGATGCCCAAAAAACGAAAATGTTATATTAAAATGTGATTGTGATCATTTTTAATAATTTAATAATTGCATTCTCTTCTTATTAACAGTTTTCTTTTTGGAAAAAAGCTCCAATGTGTTTGTAGCATTTCTTTGTGCAAAGCATGAAACAGCTGTAATGTACCTCTGTCCGCAGCACAGGGCTCCCAGAATGAAATATCACCACACTGATGATACCACGGCACACGACCACCGTCACCAGGAAGATCATCACCACACACAGCTGAGAGAAGAGGGGGAAAAGCACACCTGTAGCTGCGACATAATATGCTGCACACAGCCAGAGGCACACAAAGGTCTGCTGTCATCATCAACACCATGCAGCATAATATAAGACCAAGAAGTCAAGAGTCCAGCATCCTCATTGCGGCTCTCATGATGCTCATCATAAAACTGATCCATATCTCTTACATCCTGACTGACATCTTTCAGAGCACAAACAAAGTTTTTAAAAGACGGCTTTAATTGAATGTGCTAGACATGCATATGCTTTTCTAAGTCAGTAGCATTTAGTAGTAGGATTTTTCTAAAGATTGGCAAGCAAGCAAGAGCTTCCAACAAGAGCTTGGATCAGGTATTATTCCCATAACATTTAGTAACAGCTGAATAATTTTTTCCATGATATTCATTTCTTTTCTTTGTCTAATAGTGGATTCTATTCCTTTCAGTTTCGGGAAATTAACTTGCAGACATTTTCATTCCTTATATCAAAATTCACAACTATCATAACATCAGTATGTTTCCAGCAAAATCCTTCTACTGAACAGGGAAGAGAATTAGAATTTTAAAACATTTCCATCTCTAATCCCATCATCAAAACAAGGGTGTGTGGAAAAATGATCCTCAGATCTGCATCTACAAAGAAGTGAATCTTGGACACAGCATAAAGTGCGTGGATGAGATGATGGGATCATATCTGGCCCTGTAGGCATGTGACCTGGATTCATTATTAAAAAAGGGTTCAGTTAACAATGCAGGATTTACTGGAATGACACAAAGGTGTTAACCCCACCTCTATTTCTCAACACAATCACAAAAGGAAAAGCTCAAGAGAAACCGAGACTCCTTACTGAAACCACGTGCAATGAGATTAATGATGAGAAAAAGAGAAAGTCTGTTGTTCGGGAGCGGATCTGGATCTGCTGTATTAGAACGACATTTTACAGTGTGACAATAATAGTGGTAATTAAACCGTTTAAGAACCTAACTAAACATAATGCATAGTGTTAAAATGCACCTCGAGTATTTCTTTTACTGAAGTGCAAAAACAACAAAACAGCAGTACAGTATGTAAAATATTTTAAATGGCCTCACCATCATTATGATAACCATGGAGCCAGTGAACATGCGAGACAGCCTGGTTTTTTCAGGAAAGTATGGCTCTTTGACCCCAGTCACTGGATTTTGCTCCATAGTAGGGGCCATGGCTGCAAACTCCGGCCGAGGACGCTCCTTAAAGAAAACAGTGACCATCATCACTGGACACACTCTTCACCGGCTTTGTCTGGTTCACAGATTGGTCTGTAACTTTAGTCTTTGCTCTGTTGTTTACCTTGTTTACTCTGTACAAAACTGAAACTTCCGTGTATAAAGGTTAAAATCAAATATTAAAAAAATAGAATCCCTGTGCAAACAAGTGCAAACAGTCATGATGCCCATTACTGTATTACTGGATCTATAATCATGACAGACCTAAGAGCTCTAAACCGAATAAGACCAGTATGATCACACTCATACTGAAAGCAACCAATACCTCCTCTTCATGGAAGTCCATACAGTCCCAGTGATGTGCCAGAGTGGCCATTTTTCTCTTCCAGTACTCCAGAAAGGTTACAGCCCAGAATGACATGAACACACTGAAAAACACTGTACCTGGATGGTCAAATAAGTATCCCAGCTGCAACAGAGAAAGGTACAACCATTAGGTTCAAGTCTTTTTTCGCAGAGTCAGCGATTTGTTCACCACGAAAAGCTTGGTACCTTCGTCAAGGTGCAGATCTCAGACATGTTCCAGGCCTTACATGTTTTGCAGAGTGGACACATGGTATAGCTAGCTCCACTGTTACAGATTTCCTCCCTGTTGACAGACACACTGACACAGATTAGTTACACCTGAGATAACACTAATTACAGGTTTTAAAGCAACACGTATTTGGCCTCACATAACTGTGAGGCCCAATAATGATCAGTGTGGGAGCTAAGGCATTGGGAGAATTAACTCTAATGGATGTAAAGGCTGCACATATACCTATTACGTACTGCTTCCAGGGAACAGATGAGCGGTGTGGAAAGCATTCTCCTAACCTCCTGCCGGGAAACAAAGCTACTGCTCTTTCCTTTATTACAGTTATAGAGTGAGTTACTGAAACCCTGACTGCACATGGGATCAGCTACAAATAAAGCCTGGACTGACATCTATTTCCTCCTCTTTTTTTTTTTAATAGGAGGATTATTCTGCACTAATTGTCCATTAGAGATGGCTGCTTTTTCTTGCTGCCACAGACTCTCTTTCCTAGGATATCGACTTATCCCTAAGAAATGAAGCCAGAAAAAGGTAAACAGTAGTTACAGCGGCAATATTACTGTACACAATCTAGGCTACACTTACGCTGAGAAGAAAAACCAGAAAGGAGAGCCAACTCTTAATAAATAATATATGACAAACTGGCACAGACATCCCACATGTAGATGATCTAGCTGTGAAGCGAGTCTTTATGCAGAGTGCGCTCTGCTTTGAAATATTTGAATCTAAAGTTGTGCTTGTTTGAGAGAGTCTGTAAGTGGAGTTTAATTTCCAGGAAACTGTGGCAGCCCTTGAAACAAAAGCTATAACACACTTATTTGCTTTCTTTCTAAGGAGAAATCAATGCTAATCTCATGTGTGTACATTAAGTACAGCACTGAACTTTGGCTCTTATGTTGGACATCAGTAAGGTTTTTGCTATACGTTTCTGAACAGGCACAACAGCACCAATTTCAGCAGCTTCACTGAAACAATAAGACTCTAAGAAGCCACTGCAGCCAGCAGCTGGCTGACAATGATTAGTCCCGTTTATTTTTATTATGAGCCATGTGGGTGTGCATTAAATTCAGCTGAATCACTATCAATAGTGATACATGTCAGTGCATAAGTATGTTTAATGTTTAATTAAACATAATGTCTGGTTACCATCTGAAACTCCATTGAGGGATCGGGGGGTCAGGGGGCTGGGTGATCAATAGTTGCCCCATGACTGCATTGGATTTTTTCACATTTGGCAACTGTTTGCAACTAGTTGCAACTAACTTTGTGTGAGGGTTTCCTATTTGTTTGATTTTTATGTTATACATTATTAAAGACAAGATCCAAGTTTTTGTGTCTATTAAAACGGTGGTTGCTTCACTTGTGTTTGAACTGCCTGCTTAAACTGACCCCTGTGTGTAAAACTTCAACAACTATGCCACAATACCTTATCTAAGTGAGTGCAGTCACACGTGACTAGCCATGTCTGTAATGCGACATTTCATTTAAAATTATTTTGTGTTACACAATAAAACACATGCTATGTATACATGATGCAGACTCACGCTGGTGTGTTGGTACCCATGGACATCACTCCAGACACAAAGACCAGAGTCCCGACCACTGCTGCCGGCAGCAGCCAGGCTGTGTAGAAACCTGCAGAGACAAAAAGCTCCATTAGACTGCAGCTCTCAGCTGATGCAAGACGGATGTTCAATTTCAGCTGCAGTGATGACTTTCATCCTGACAATAATGGTTTCAAGCTCAGGTATAGCCTCTTTGCATATACTACACTCTCCTCTTAACAGAGATTCATAAAAGAATTTCACTGCTAAAAAAAGGAGTTTCCACTTGTACCTTTTTGTGAAAAAAGAAAGGAAGAAAAAAGTAATAGATGCAATTCACTGTAGAGTCAGTGCCAGGAGGCTGTAGCTTAGATTGCTGTATCATACAGTATGTTTATTTATGTGAGCACTCTGCTTATTGTCCTGTATTAGTTTTGATCCATTTCTAATCATTTTAAATGATTCTGGCGTGTAATACAGACTCCACGTATTTCTCATTTATTAAAATGAACAGCGGGGTTTTTTTTAAATAGAGAAATCTTTGGCCCCCATCAGACTCAAATCAAATGACCAGAATTGTAATAAAATTATAGTTAGCTACTAAATTTAAATTGATTTCAACCAAATAATCTGCAAAAACTGCTTTAGTTTGTGCTTCAAGGTAATAAAATTACTGAGATATCAATAGAACGCTTATGTTGAGCAGTTAATTAAACTCAAATTACTTGTCGACAGGGAGAAAGCCTTAACAGTTGCACAGATATTTATAATGTTTTCATTTTAGCAATAATGACAAAATCTAAATATTTAATTAACATTACTAGTTATTGTGATACCTTCTGGTCTGGATTCAGTAATCCTCCTGGATTCAGGAAGGAGTGGGCTTTTTATCTGTAAAAAATGAGCCAAATTTTTTGAACAACAGAAATAAGAATATATATTTACCCAGCCAGGCAAAGTAGAGTGCAATCTTCTCTCCAAAGTACTCCCTGATATGGTCCAGTGGTTGATACTTGTACCATTTGCACCAGCGGGCCCAGTAGTAGTAGAGAACCTGCCTCTGGTTCAGCTCGTCAGGTCGGACCTCGTGCTTTGGAAGCTGAAAGGGCCCCTAAAGAGAAAAAACATGCTGCTAATGAGAAAGAGAAAACGACACATTTCAGTGTACAGAACAGCTAAAAATAACTCACCTCATGCAGCGGGAACGCTGCTGTGTACGCCCCTTCATTTAACAGTCTGTCCACTCCGACTTCAGCCTTCTTCCTTTTCCCATATGCTGTCCTGGCAAGAATCTCATAGACCTGAAATAAAACTCTCAGTCTGTTAGTTCAAATATACATCCGATACATTCAGTATACTACTATTGTCACACTTGTGTTACTTACAACACGGTGCCTCTGCGTATTTGTGAAATATGTATCGTGATCTTCCCAGCCAAGGAATCTGAAGAAAAGCGTACATTCAGCAAAACACGCAGCAGTGATCTGATCCAACTGTTTGCAGAAGTTAACCCACCTGCTCATCTTTGACTTGCGAAAGGCACATGTGTAATAGTCCAGAGGCCTGTTAGGCACAGACTCCGTCATTACGTTAGGTATGCATAGTTTACTCAGTACCCGAGCAGATGTGTTGAGGTCTAGATGCTGCTGTGCCTGGGACACAAACACAGATACAGGTGACCTCCTTCTATTACTGTAGAACAGCATAAGATGCACGTTTTTGGTTCTGAGTGAAATGTTACGACAGGTTTTCATTGTCTTAAGAGATAATCAGAAAATGTTCGCATGATTAAAGAGAAAAGTGAGATAGTAAAGACTTTATCTGGTAAACATCAGTGTGCTCTTTCATATTAAGTTGTCCTTGTTTATTCCCCAAATTAGTATTATTATCAACTGGGTTTAACGTCACGTAACAAATAACTTTAAATTGAACCTACCTAGAAATAAATAGCTGTACTTACTTGCAGTGGAGCTCTAAGGCAAAGCTCCTCAGCATAACACACCAACACATCCCAGGGGGCGCTAATTTTGAGAAAGTGTATGGTCTTCTTTTCATTTGCAGTTTCCTCCTACAAGTAAAGAGGCAACAAAGAAGACGTTAATCAACAAGTCAGGAAAAATAATGAACAGATTTAATAATTTAATAATAAGATAAATAATCTTTAATCTTGTCAACAACACCTTTTCCATGACCAAGCCAACACTCTCCAGGTTCTGAACAAACTTCTCTCTCCACTGAGCCAGTTGTGCTTTCCTTCGTTCAGACCTGCTGCTCTCCTCAGCGGGAACGGCTTCCCTCTCCTCACTGGTAGCCATATTTGTCCCTTTCCCTCGCCGCTTCCTCCGTGAACGAATCTCCCACACCAGCACGAAGTCTGCACCCCAGACCAGAGGAGTGAAAGGTTAAATGAACGAATGACTTTGTCTACCTACCACTGAGCTGATGAAACCTCATGCAAAGCGAGCAGCCTACCAATCTTAGTTCTCCCGTCTCTGAAGTAATTCCCCAACTGTGGCACTGGTTGCTTACTTCTTGTAGGAGACTGCATATAAATGGGATCATCGCCATCCATATCTCCATCAGCAGCTGCAGCTGCAAGCTGACAGTTGAGCCACCATTAATATATCATGAAACTCTGTAAAGAGACAGCTGCTGACGAAAACTCTGCTCACTTTTCTGCATTTGAACCTTTTCGCTCGGTGTATGAATGTTTAATTGGCTTTGAGGAGAGGTTTAATTCTTGTGCTAGTACATGCCTCCACTTTGCAGTAATAAGACCAGAAAGATGAGCCGAAAACAATCTTTCAGTGCAGTAAAGTCATGCCTCACCATTACCCATTATCAGTGTCCTTACAGTACCTTGTGTTCATGTTTATATTACATGAAGGGTAAAACCCCTCAAGACTCACTGCCACATCTCTGAGAAATCAGTGAGGCCAAAAGGGAACAGGATAATGAATAACTGCTGTGTCAAAGTGATGCGATTTTATAGATTTATGTGAGCTGAAGAGATATCACACTGCAGTATTGTAGGAAATAAGTAAAGCAGAGCTTACATATCGTGGGGGGATAAAGCTCCCATTCTGCAGGCTCCCATAGCTCTCTGTGCTTTGTGCTTCAGCCCTAGTATCCAGATCCAGGAGGACCTCTCTGTCTCCCTTCAGCCGCTCTGAGCTCTTCCTCAACATGATAAAAAAAAAGCTCCTGTGACTTGAAACAAACACTATGCCTTCACATGAAATCTGTACTGAAGGAATTCAAAGATAACTTCAGCCAGGCTGAAGGTAAGAGATGCAAAAAAAGCCTTAAAAAATCTGGATACTGGTCTTTGCTATAGTGAAAAACAAGCTGCTGCTGAAGTCTGCATTTGTAGCAATCTACGCTTCCCTTGTCCTCGTTCTGCTTTTTATCTCTGCATCCATCAGGCTCCTCTGCTCCACTGCAAGAGCCGTGGATACCGTAATGGATCTAGCACGCAGGCAACACCGCGCACAGTGCTGTGCTGCATCTCAGCAGGGAAATGCACGTTTTCACCTCATAAATAATGTAACAGTTAGTGAGTGGCAGTCCAAGCTCTTATGTGCTATAATAATATAATTATATGGACATAACGCACTGTGAGAGGATTCTTCTCTTTGAAGTCAATGTGTATTCCTTCATCCATGCAAGCTGTTTCATATACTTCACTGAAGTGGTTTGAAATTCTGCAGATAATTAACATAAATTACACGAGGATGAAGCACCACCCCCACGTGATCTTCTCAAAGCGCAGAACAAACTGTGCGCACTTAAAAATGCTGTTGGTTTATACTCAGAGTCCAGAAGCCCCACATGTACCAGGAGGTTGGTTTTTTTTTTTTAGCTTAAAAGTGATGTTTCTGTGTGTTTTTTATGTGTAATAACTTTGCTAATAATGGTAGAAATACTGTAGTCAACAGGATGAATGAAGAGGTTATATATAAAATGAAGAACTAAATAAATGAATGAATGAATTATTGCCAATGAGACTTTTTAGCTAGATAAATAAAGGATATATAAAACTAAGTCACTTTTTGGCACACCACCTCCAGCAGCCTTCCTGCTTTTCATGCTGTTTGCAGTGCTGCAGTCAGAGCAGAGTCGAACCTGTGAGACATGTATGAAGGAATAACACAACACATACAGTAACCAGAGTCGTGCTGTCAAAGGGAAACTCTATTTTAAAAACAATGATGACATCACCAGTATCTTTGAGTGGATTTTAATGCAATGCCGGAGCCAACACTGGCGAGTTTGAAAGACGCTTTAGAGCAGTGGTCATGAACTCCAGGCCTCGGAGGCCGGTGTCCTGCAGGTTTTAGATCTCACCCTGCATTAACACACCTGAATCAAATGATTAGTTCATTAACAGGCCTCTGAAGAACATCAAGACATGTTGGGGAGGTAATTTCGCCATTTAAATCAGCTGTGTAGGATCAAGGACACATCTAAAACCTGCAGGACACCGGGCCCTTGAGGCCTGGAGTTCGAGACCCCTGCTCTGGAGCTTCACCTTAGCTATCCACAACAAACCTTTAGGGCACAGCACATAATCTTCATTTTCATATTAAACTTTTTCCTGTGAATTTCCCTAGAGGTCAAAACCCCTGATATTTTACCCAACATCGATCCAACATCAACATCTTTCCTCTTTTTTCGCCATAAGCCATCACAGCCTCCTTTTCTATCAGTGATGCTGTTTTGTAATGGTTTACATTTGGTTTCAAGTCTTTCAGTCTCAACTTCTAACCCTATTTATGATTTTGAAACTGTGTTACTACAAAGAGTTCACAGCTTTCTTTTTCATGGTAACCTCACAAGCACACTATTACTGTACTACTAAATAATAAAGATACCTCTGAACAAGACCAGTGGTAACGGTTGCCCTAGCAACTATAAAATTATTATCAGCAATAAAGGAAGTTGTTAACATGTACTCTGGATTGTATCTGATGCTATCTTGAACGTCTTCCTTTCACTACAAACTGAGTCAGCTGATACCAAACATCCTTTAAGTTTATCGACACTTTGAGCATTTGCAAGGTGCTCCGAACTTAAAACCCATATTTGCTCTGCCAAAAGTAAATAACTTGGGTTCACATAAAAGCACTTTGGGTGTTTCAGTCATAAGTTACTCACTACCCGCAACACACACACCATATAGACGTCCCTGTACACTTTGGTTGACATCAGGCTTGGATGCAAACTGTTTGTATGACCTCTGCAGGTGTGTCAGAGAAATTAGAGTAACTGAAATGGCAAACTATGAATATGTAACAGCTCATCTGTCACTGTCTCAGTGTGACATTTGGTCAGAAAACATTTGAACACTTTGATTTAAAACACAGAAGAAGTGACTGAAGTAGTGTTTACTTTTTAAGGGATTAGTATTGTATCTTATTCACTTATTCATTTTTGTTTTATTTGTTCTTTTTAAATGTGTGTAAAGTACAGAAAATTACAAATGAATATTTAAGCTCTACATAGCATTGTTATCACTTTGACCATCAGCTCAATCTACTGGGCTTGAAGATAAAGGTCAGAGGTCAAATGTAACATGATATTTTAAATCTTTACATGGTACTTTCTTTAAGTTGACAATACACAACACACTTTTAAGAATCATAGTTGCTAAGTCAATTTTCAACCAATAAGTTATTGAGTGGACTTTGAAGGGGAAGTATGCCAAATTTGAATAGATTGCTAACATGAGCCCACTCTACACCCCTACTAGGTCTCAACAGAACTCATTCAAGACTTCATTCAAAACATAATCTCCTTTGTAGAGGTAATACAAATCACCAAGCAGCATGTCATAGGCACTACAAAAACAAACTATTAATTGAGCAAACATACACAAGAAATGTATCTAAAGCAATCACAGACAATGGGAACACATTTTGTGTTACACTTCCTAAAAGCATAGTGACCTAAGATGCCCTCTTACCCGTGAATATTCTGTTCCTGCGCTAACACAACTGCCCTCATGACTCCACTGTATTGGACCATATTTCACTGGCGTGACCTGTGACAAAAAGGCAGCTGTTAAAAAACACAAACAGGCATACTAAAAGCAGAGGACATGACACCACAGGAGACGGGGTTCGGTTACAGTTCACAAAGATTTATTTGTACATTCGTTACATTAAATGAACAGTATAAAACCTTCAGGACATGCACTTCTCCAAGTGGGAGTTCAGGGACTGTTATGTTTGATTAGTGCTTCATGTACATTTTAATAAAAATGCTAAACACAATAAAAATATTACATGCAGTAAACAAAAATCAAAAAGCGCTTTTGCATAATGCATTACTTAAAAGATGTCTTCCATCATTGGCCAGCAATGTCTCACCTGCAAAAACACTGCTTAAAAGGACTAACTTTGACTTTCTCGTTATATACAATTCATATTCTCCAACTCTTAAACACATTCATTATTAATCATCCGACAAACATTTCAAGTAAGTCCAAATATTGCAATGCTTCTTTCCCACTGTGGGAGACGAATTTAACTGCACTGCCAACCAACCCTATTTTGGAACCCATTAAAATATAAAAGGATTTCTCCAGAAAACCTTTTCCAACAGTTGACATCACTCTGCAGCCGTCCATGTGTGCAAAATCACTTCTTAATGCACCGAGCACAAGGGAGGAACCAAAAGGAAAGCAGAAAATTTAAAAAGGACTGCTGCAAAGCAGAAAAAAATTAAATAATATTAATAATAATAATAGTAATAAAATGCTCAAAAAAGAAGAAGCAACTGGTGAGTGTTCTGATGTGAAGTACCCTTTTCACCTGAGATTAGATTTCTTTATAAAATAAAATAAAATAAAAATTATATATATGAATAAATAAAAGCAGAAGGTGAAAGAGAACATGGGGCACTTAGAAGAGCTTAAAATACAAATCAATGCGGACATGAAAGCAACACAGTGACATGTGTATAGGGCTTGGGTAACATTTCCATACATATTCAACAGTAAGTAGTGGTAAGACGTATATGACCCACAGACCTACATCGAGCACAAGCATTGACATTTCTCTCAAAGGACCCAGAATGAAAACGTTGATTGTTTTAGACCCTGTGAAATTATAAAGTGTAAGGCATTGCTGAAAGAAAAAGAAAAAAACCTGATGCTTAAATTTAATAATTTGGCAATTTAATTCAGTTCTGCTAAAAAAGGCAACATTGTCATCGCAAAGAAAACCTCATATTTATCTCAGCCTTCCAGAAAGAGCAGTCACACGGCACATGCAGCAGCACTTTAACCCTCTAATCAGGCTCAATACTAAAGACAAACATGCATTATTCATGTCTCCGGACAATCATTTCTATGCCAAGTAAGGAGGCTTTTTATTTTTTCTAAATTTGTCCTGTAATTATGTATTCTTGCCAGATTAAGGCTTTACCATTAGCTAATGTAACAGGCTATTATTTAAAAGGCTCTAGACTGTAAAATTTTGAAGGATTTTAAACCTCAAACATGGTCCTACTTTGGGACTAGTGCAGAGGACGCAGGCATGTTATAATCTAGATGTGTGGCCAGAACTTACAGTACAGCATAAACTACGGGTGCAAAATAAAAATGAGAAGTCAAAACATTCTTTAGCTCTCAGTTATTAAACAACTCCTCACCCAAACCTTAAATCCTCCATTACAAAACAAAAACAAACCTCCAAACTGGATAATTTGGTAACAACTGTTCCCATTTTCTCTAAAAAGGAAATAAAATAAAACATGGCATGTTAATGCAATTCCACAACCAGTACCACTTAAAAAACTGGGAAAAAAAGTGCAAGTCAGCATGGAAACCTCCATCTCTGCAGAGTGGAGAAAAGGCAAGTTTGTTGTATTTCCTGAAAGAAGTTATTTTCATCTGAATGAAAATGTTAAAACTGATAAAGTGAGAACTCGGACAGATGCTGCAGCCATGAGCATGTTATGTAACAGTGCAAGCTTTAAGTATTCGGATATCCTCATTCTCTCCCGATGATGTGCTGTGTGTATGTGACAATACTTCAGAGTAACTACTTACTGACAAACCGAAATTTAATCCCAAACGTACACAACAAATATGTAACCGTCAGTGAATATGCAATGATACTGTGCAGTGCTGTATGTTTGCACTGATGATACGCCACCATTATGGTTCAGAAGCACGTTTTCTAAGTGTTAATAAGCAACAAGTGACTTTTTCTTAACACGGGTGTGTGAGCTGTGCAGAAAGTTCCGGCTATGGAGTGTCAACTTTTTACTAAACCAACAACCAACCATTTCCTGTTTCATTAATGGCTTTGTATATGTGCGTGCATAAAACTCTCATGTTACAGAGAAGCTTCTGGTAATTGTTCTGTGTCTCCATCAAGCTTCTCCAATCTGCTAAATAATGTAATTATCATTTTCTATCTATATCTCAATTGTCAAATCATGTGACAGCAAATGTCTTTGATTTGGCATGACTCAGTCTACACTGCTCCCATGTGTGAGGAATACCAAGATAGTGAGTTATAATGCTGTTTTATCAGGCTACTATAAGACTCTGCAGTCTTGCATCATTGCAATGTGATGTGCATCACGCAGTGCTTCTACAACAGGAAGTTTCTCTGATTACATTTAAGAATCAGAGGTTCATCACAAGCCACATCACATCTCGTTGGTTTATAAGTCTTTTAGTTTATGACTACGCAGTGGCACAAACTGTTACACCCCATCCTGTCAAACTATCAGACTCAGTGGCTGCAAACACACATAAATGTATAGATATTCACGTGCGTGTCTGTCAGCACCACGGTTCACGCTGGGCTCTGCCTCGAGCCAGACTGTCGGCTCTCTGCCAGGCGCTCTTCATCAGCTCGAGTGCCTCGCCGCAGCGTTTCTGCACCAATGGATCAGAAACGTCTCTGTGAGGAAGCTCAACCTGTGTGCGGAGAGGGTGCATGAGGGTTACATCCTGACAGTAGTTATCTTCACTGGCTGCACAGTTGCTCTATTTTTTCTTAAACACACAACAATTGACAGACTAAGCGATGTTGTTACCTGAAAAATGGCCTTCCATGCGTCGTCCAAAGCCTGCAGCAATCGATCTCTTTCTCCACAGCCGCTGAAGTACAAAACCCAGGGCGGGAGGAACTGTGCCCGATCAGCTGCAAACTCCTACCAACAAATTGGAGAATAACAGTGATGCTTATTATAGTGTTAAAAAAGTGTTAAAGCAGTGAAATGTAATTTATGCAATGTACATGGGGCAGCCGTGACAGTAAGTCATCTACTAAGTGCAAGGTTGGTGGTTCGATCCCTGGCTCCTCCAGTCTGCATGCAAAAGTGTCCTTGGACAAGATACTGAACCCTGAAGCGTGTTCATAGAAAGCACTCAGGCAAAAACAACTGCTTGTATGAATTTATGTGTGTTATACAAAGTGTTTTTAGAGCTTGAGAAGAAAACAGCTGTAGAAGAATGAGTCTATTTACCATTTGAGAGAAAATGAGGTAACCCCTCAAACTGAAATCTGATGGCACATTCTGTAAACTTTAGTTCCACCAGATCAGCAGTGCAACAGTTCTTGACTACCTCGAAGGCAACGGCTGTAATCGGCTCAAGCATGAGTTTTATCAACATTCATTAAATTATGATACAATTTCCAGTGGTTCCAGCAGTGCTGTACAATTTCCAGTATAGGACAGAGATTACACTGGTAAGCCATGTTAGCAAAACTAACACCAGCTTTAGAAATGGTCACTCACAATAACACAGTACGCCATGTCTGCCTCCAGGCTGACAGCGATGACATCACAGATGTCAGCGCTGCCCAGTGAACGAAAGAAACTCGTCTGGCAGTCCTGATGGCAAGTCAGCAGCTTCTTGTCTGTCACCACGAGACAACATGGGATACACGGGGTGGGGGAGACACCCTGAGGAATGACCTGGAAGCAAGGTGGTTGTATGTCATTTTAATATGGCCGATACATAGAAGGAAAATAATGCACTTCCTCTTTTAATATCTAAAATAGACCATAACCATTGCTCTTTAAAGAGTTTTTTTATGGTTGGGTGAACCTCATGAGCACTAATGAACAGGCTGTGTTTACTATCTTTCTCTTCTCACCCCTTTAGACACAGACTGGCAGAGTAACTGCATCCATTCAGCCATGTCCTGCTCGTTGTTTGCACTGAGCACCAGCGGAGGGCGCTCTGTCAGGATGACTTGGAAAGCATGTGGACGTTCTGTGTTGTTTGAGCGACGGCAGCCTCCACAGTGCTCTCCTCTTTTGAAGTGAGAGTGAGAGAAGTGAGAGAATACAAACGACATGAGAAAAATATACCAGTGAACTTCAGTGTCTTTGGACATTTGCTTCATGGATTTTGAAGAATCTGCATATGAAGCCTACCCCATGGTGACTGAGAGCAAGGGGGTCACATCTGTTCTTTCTGCATACAGGTACAGAATCCCATTACTGCATGACAAGAGAGCATAGTTACATTCAACTTAACAAAAGACACATTAAACACATACAGTTCACTATGACTGCTAAAGTGAATAGAAGGAAGTGAGGTGTATGGTAAATGTAATCTACACTTTTTGCACATAGTACTCATAAAAGTATGTCAGTGGTGTTAATGCTTATCAGTGGTTTATTTGCTTTTTCAAGGAAAGAGACCTCAGAAAACTGATAACACACAATGCTTGAGGGTTAATGTTTGATATTAAAATAAGGAGACAACAACCTGCTCGTACCTGAGAACGAGGTAGCAGTTCTTCCACTGCTCTTTACCCAGGTATGTAGTTCCAGACCGATACTGCAGAGACCCTTCTTTTGTGCTGGAAAATCCTCCAAGATTTGGTGGACCACCTTGGGGAGATAAAGTCATGTCCATAGGATCCTCCCAGTGAACCAGTGAATACAGTTTAATAGACACTTCAGATACCTGGGAACACAGGTAAGGATCAGTTAGCCACCTCTTTTAAAGTCTGCCAAGAAATATGAAAGCAATAAAGCAGGGACTCTCAATTATTCTAC